GGTTAAACGGTCCCAAGTGTCCTTTCCAAGTACACACGCTGTACTGTCAACTGGATATAACTATACTAAATAAATGTTCCCATTTTTCACCAATTCTGTGCCTTTTATATGTCTACCCAAGTTGGATAACATATTTTTTTTTCTTCATAACTAGGAAGTTTAAATGTCCCCCAACTGTGCTCATCCTATTCGTTGTGGAACAACCAATGATCTTTATCACTTCCAGAAAGCCACGACCCAGCTATGTGAGACTATTGAACTAATGAATAAGGCTTTGTTTTTCCACTTCATTAGACTCTAATACCTCAACAGTCTCTGCTGTGATGGTCAAGGGATATTCATACACTGAAGGAAAGCTCAGGCCAAGTGCTTTATACTTAGGTACAATGTTATTCTCCCATTGTTGCACATATTTGTTTCCCACATGGAGGCAAATTTCACAAAGGTAGGCAAGATTTCTAATTCCCCTACCCTCTAACAACGAGGACACAAGACTCCTTTGAACTTTGCCTTCAAGCTTGGGTTTACTTGAAGAGAAAAAGAGTAGTCCATAATAGATTTATTTAGAAAAAGTCTTTATTAGTACATAATTGCTCCATAGATTGAACAGTAAGTAAATCAAGGGCAACAGGCCTTTGTCTAAAACCACCTTGCTGTTCAGATGTACCCAAGAAAACAAAAAAGGGAAGTGAGCAGGCGGAGGTCTCTTAACTTCAGAGAGGAACAGAGCTTGGAGGCAGGGTTACACTTGGTCTTTCCACCCTTGGCTTCCTTGTTTTTGTCATAAATCTGACCACATCAGGTATTGTATTGTTAAGCACTTCCTTTTGGTCAGTGACCTTACCCTTTCTCTTCAAGTTTTTGAAAACACCGCCTTTATAATTTACCTTTTGATTTTCTTTCTTGCTTATTCTAAACATATTGAAGCAACTGAGCTATGACATCTTAAAGTGAAGTTGTTTGAGAATGCAATACAGTTGCAAATAAGTCAATAACAGGACATGCTACAAGTTCTCTGTGGGTCTCTCATCTCTACCTGGCTCCTGAGGATTCAATCAAATTCCAATTGCTGTTGTTTCAACTCTAAGCAAGAGTTGATTATATCTGGGTAAAAGTTACAGTGAGAAATTTATTGTTAGGAAATAGTTAAGATAAGTTCCTGAGCATTCTTCATCTTTAAAGGAAGCTTTGATCATAATCTCATTTAGGCATTACTATAGCCCATGAAGCTATCAGTCTACTCAGAAAAATACTGGAGGATGAAAATTAGTGAGGAGGTGGAGTAGGTTTATTACTATGAAAAAGAATAGTTCAAAAGTAAGAAAGAGACAGGTGGTGGCACATGGCTTTAATTGAAGCACTTAGGAGGCAGAGGCAGGTAGATCTCTGTGAGTCTGAAGCCAGCTTGGTCTACATATTGAGTTCCAGGACAGAAAGGGCTACAGAGTGAGACTCTGTCTTAAAAATTCAAGCCAAAACAACAAAGCAACACAACAATAACAACAACCAACTAAGAAAGATTCATAGAGGTGGAGGAAAAAGGACTTGAAATATTTTAAGACCCTATATTTAGCCTCTTCTTTAATGTAAAAAGAAAAAGATGGAAAGTCCCACAAAGTACTTAATGAATGGTATCTGCCTATTTTGCTTATTTCATTTTACCAGCTCAGGGAATTCTACCCAGTAATTTCTTGATGCATCAGACATAGCAGTTATATGATGAAAATGATGCCCAAAGACTCCTAAAGTTGTCATGATCATGCCATTTCCTCTGCTCCTTTTCCATTTGGATTTCAAAAAGGAACAACATAGCCCTTCATTTATGAGAGTGAACACTTACAAATGACTGTTTTCTTGAGCAATTGAAGCGTATGACTTTGAAGCCAGCTTCTGGTTAGAAATATCCATATTGGTAGAATCCTTTGTAGACCAAATTGCACACTTGTTTGTCTCAAGAAAGGGGTATGGTTAAACATAATTTTAAGTTTTATGATTTTCGTGGTTTTAATACAACACAATTATAGGTTGATTAGCAAACAATAATGAAATTATAAGAACTGTGTGTAAAGTGAAGTGACTTTGGCATCTTATGTTGTCTTTTTTAGAGAAGAGCTTTCTCACATGCCTAGGTTTCAAGTTTATTTTATGTGTTAAGGTTACAAGGTGCCTGATAAATTAATGATAAAATAATGCATAAGTTAATGATAATATAGCTCATTCAGTGACATAAAAATTTTAAATTGTTTTTCTATGCTATAGGTTTTGTTCGCTTTTTTCTTTTGTATTGCTTTTTAAGACAGTGTCTTGATATATAGCACAGGTTGGCTTGAAAATTATTGTGTGATTCAGTCAGTTCTTTTGCCTCAGCCTCTTAAGTACTAGTATTATCCATATGGACCACTACTCCTGGCTTGTGCTTTTATAAACTCTTGGCAATTATTAACTCAAGGCTCATAAGTCATTGGAGGAAGGCATGTTTTCAGGAGAAAAACTCGCTTCCCCCCAAACGAAAAGAGGCATATTTCCAAGATATCTTTCTGGTAGGTATCTCCCAAAGAGGTGGGGTGCTCTTTTTCGCTTTCTGCTTTGTAATTTATGCAGACTTCAGCTATCATCACAGCATATGCTACCCTGTGATAGTTATGCTTAGTTGCATGTCTCTCAGTATTAAAGCAATGGAAAAACAAGAGAATGATTATGTATGCTATCATATTGTCTGCAAATAATAAAACTTTGAACACTTCCTTTCCAGTTTGTATCCTCTTGATCTTATTCAGTTGTCTTATAGTATTATACTGACTAGATACGGAGAGAGTGACTAGCCTTACCTTGTTCCTTATTTTAGTGAGATTGCTTTGAGTTTCTCTCTATGTAATTTGTTTTTATTTCTTTTCTTTATATTTATTTATTTATTATTTTTTCTTATTTTACATATTGATCCCAGTTTCCTCTCCCTCCTTCCCTCCCTCCCATGACCCTGATCCACTTCCTACTCCCCACCCCCCCTCCCACTCCACAGGGAGGGTGATGGCTTCCAGGAGGAATCATCAAAACCTGTCAAGTCATTTGGAGTAGGGACTAGGCCCTCCCTCCTGCCTCTAGGCTAAGGGACTATCTCTCCATGAGGAATGTGCTCCAGGGATACATTCTGGTTCCACTGTCAGAGGTCCCTTAGACTGCCCAGGCCTTCTAACTGAGACCCACCTTCAGAGGGTCTGAGTTGGTCCAATGCTGGTTTCCCAGCTATCAGTCTGGGGTCCCATGAGCTCTCCCTTGTTCAGGTCAGCTGTCTCTGTGGGTTTCTGTAGCCTGGTCTTGACCCCTTTACTTATTACTCCTCCCTCTCTTCAAATGGATTCCAGGAGTTCAGCTTAGTGTTTAGTTGTGGGTGTCTGCTTCTGTTTCCATCAGCTACTAGATAAGGGCTCTAGGATGGTATTGGCTATAAGTTTGCTGTAAATTGCCAGGCAGGGCTTCCAGTGGTGTGACTGAAACACCAAGCCCGCTGCAAAATCTTCAGTCTACAATCTGCCAGGCCTGCAAGATGTGCTGGGTGATGGTGGCACTGAACTTGTGGCAGTGGCCAAGAAATGACTGCGAACAATGGCGGGTCTAACTTGAGACCAACACAAGGAGAGGGGGTCCATGCCCAATGCTGCCAGGAACTGGAGACTGGATAGCCCAGAGGCCTAGGGTAGAACCAGACACAGCTGCTCTCCACCCCCATAAAATCAATGAAATTATTCCTAGTGATATTCTGCTTTTATGATCAGTACCTAGCCCCGTTGTCCTCAGTGAGGCTTTCTCTAGAAGCTGATGGGAGCAGGGAGCAGATGCAAAGGCCCATAGCCAAACATTAGGTGGAGCTCAGGAAACCCCACAGAGGGAGAAGATGGAGTATAAGACCCAGAGGGGTTGAGGACACCAGGAGAACATGGCCCACAGAATCAACTAAGCAGAGACTGAAGTGGCAATCACAAAGCCTGGATGGGTATGCACTAGGTCCTTTGCATATATGTTATAGTTGTTTATCTTGCAAGGTGTTTTTATGAGATGCCTAACAGTGGGAGTGGGGTGTCTCTGACTCTTTTGCCTGCTCTTGGTACTCTTTTTACCTGACTGGGTTGCCTCTTCTAGCCTTGATAAGAGAGTCTATGCCTATTCTTATTGTATCTTGTTAGGCAGTGCTTTGTTGATACCTCTGGGCGGCCTACTCTTTTCTGAAGGGAAATGGAGGAGTGGATCTGGTGGAGAGCGAAGTGGAGGCGGGGTACCTGGGAGGCACAAAGGAAGGGGAAACTATAGTTGGGATGTATTGCATGACAGAAGGATACATAAATACAAAAGAATCAGTTCTAAATAAAACAAAGATAAACATAGAAACAAAACAACAAAAGAAGAAAAACAAGGCAAGAATATTACTAAAGCCAAGTATTATAGGGAAGTGATTGTTTATAATTCGTTTTTAAACTTTACTATAGCAGTGCTGGCTAAGAAGTAACACAAAGTAATGCTAGTAAATTGTACAGTAAAGGCTACATTATGATTTAAAAGTCTCAATTAGCATATAACCATGGGCAAGTTCTGTAGTATTTCATCCTCATTTGTAAAATAGAAATCACAATATTATTTTGTGGGGAGGATGAAATTAACTAATTAATTGTTCGTTACTTGAGACAGTGTTTCTCTATGTAACAGCCCTGGCTGTCCCGGAACTCTCTGTAGACCAGACTGACCTCAAATTTAGAGATCTGGCTGACTCTTTCTCCAGAGTTCTGAGATTAAAGATGTGTGCCATCACCACCCAGTGAAATCATTTATTTTTAAAGCAAATATTTGTTATGTGCCAGCTATGTAGCACACTGAGCTAGTGGAGGTAAAGTACTAAAAAACAGTGTTGAGGAAAATTATGGAATTGTGCGTTTTTGGTGGAAATAATTGCTGTGGTATCTATGGTCCTAGGAGATCATACTGATTCCAGTTTTGCTTTTGTGTTTTAGGTGAAGAGTCATGCCAAGTACAACTTACCGGTAGCAGGCATTTGAAATATCCCACAGCAGGAGAGTTCTTTAGAATTGAATGTCCTGTGACATATTGTGTTCACAGACCTAATGTGACGTGGTGCAAGTACAATGGAAGAAACTTTTTACCTCTTGAAATTGGACCTCAGCAACACACTAGTTGGGAAGAAAAGAACCAGGTTTCAGTTTTTATTCTTCATTTTGAACCAATATATCCCAGGGACGATGGGTTGTATAGATGTTCTACAGATGTTAATTCTGAGGTTATTAATAGCCACATAATAGCCATCAATGTGACAGGTAAGTACTCTACCCTAGACCATCTATAGCTTTTTTCATTGCGTTTCTGTGAAAGAGGAAATCCAGACTTGGGGTGCTTTGGTTAGAAGTTGGAACACTTGTATCACATCCACAGCTTACCCTGTCTTTCTGATTGTGACAGTCATGAGCATTTGTGTAGGGGGAGAAAGAGGTGAGGTCAAGAACAACAGAGGAAAGATAATGGAAGTTACAGTTCTTTTTTTGTGACAGGGTCTGCCTGTTCTGGAACTCTCTTTGTAGACCATGTTGTCATGGGACTCAAAGAGATCCCCTTGCCTCTGTCTTCTGAGTGCTGAGATTAAAGGTGTGTGCTACTGCAGCCTTTAGAGATTAAAACATTTATTTCACAGGTTCAAAGGTGATCACACCAATATTGCTTTCTTTTTTCTTCATTGTTTTTCTGTTGTTAACTTTTATTTGATTAGAATTTGTAAAAGTTATATTCATGTAAGCAGAAGATTTGCAGCATGAATCAACAAACAAAGAAATTACGGTGTAAAAATACCTGATGGTCATCAGCTTGGAAGACTTACTATTAGAAAGATGACAGACCCCAAGATTGAACATCATCTCCATCAAATCATACTTAATTCTAAAATTCGCCATATTGCATAACAGACCCCAAGTAGCCAAAGTAATTTGGGTAAAGAAGAGAGTTGGAAGATAAAGACTTCTCTATTTCAAAATTCATTATTGAACTATAGCTTTTTAAATACTGTGGTGAGACTAATATAGTAGTATTTAGAGTCTAGCATAAAATCCTGTATATGATCAATTGACTTTTTATATTATCTTTACCTTCTGTTCATGGGTGTTTTAGCTTGCATGTATGTCTGTGTACCACATATGTGGCTGGTGCCTCTGGTACTGGAGTTATAGATGGTTTTTGATCTTCCATGTGGGTTCTGGGAACTGGACCCGGGCCCCCTAAAAGATCAGCTGATTCTCTCAACCACTGAGCCAGATGTACTGCCTCTCAATTGATTTTTGTTATTGTTGTTGTTGTTTGTTTTTGTTTTGCTTTGCTTTGCTTTGTTCTTGGAGACAAGTGTTTCACTATGTAGTCTTTGCTAGTCTGAACTTGATGTGTAGACTAGGCTGTACTGAAACTCAGAATTCCACCCATCTCTTCTTTAAAATTCTGGGCTTAAAGGTATGTGTCACCTTGCCCAAGGCACTCAACAGATTTTGGAGAACTGAGTTAAAAATCATTCAACTGGGAAAGAAAAGTATCCTTTAACAACAGCCACTGGGAACTAAGCTCAGTGGTAGAGTTCTTACATACCACATTGGAGGCTCATGATTTGATCTCTAGCACTGAAAGAAAAAAACAATCCACCAAAAATGAAAAAGAAAGGAGGAAGGAAAAGTAACCCCAACACAAATGATGTTGAGACACAACTGTATATCCATATATATATATATATATATATATATATATATATATATATGAATGAAATTGTCAATAATAAGAAAAAAATCCCCCAAATTGATCAGATTTTAAATATAAGAAATTAAACCACAAAACTACTTTTACACAAAACCACACATCTGCATTAAAAATAACTAAGTCTTGATCTTAGATTTTGGAATCATTTCCTAGATTACAAAAGCACAAAACAACAGTGAAAGAAGATGGAGTAGACTTTGTCACAATTAATCACATTTCTGCATCAAAGGACATTATCAGGAGTGAAAAGTCACCTCACAGAACATGAGAGAATGTTTGCAAATCACATGCCTAATAAGAAACTATTGCTCTGAATACATAATGATCCTCTAGAGCTTTCTCCGTACCTTCCTGAGTCACTTTAGTGAGGAAATTTTCCAAGTTGAACAGCTCTACTTTCCATTGCTTCATCTCTCTCTCTCTCTCTCTCTCTCTCTCTCTCTCTCTCTCTCTCTGTGTGTGTGTGTGTGTGTGCGTGCATACAAGTGCACATGTGTATTCATGTGTCTACACATGTGTGTACGTGGAAGGCAGAGACTGACATTTGCTGTCTTCCTCAACTGCTCTCCACCTTATTTTTTGAGACAAGTTCTTTAAGTGAACCTGGAACTCAATTGAATTGTTAGGCTGGCTAGTGAGTGATAACTCAAGATACTCCTATTGTTGCCTTCTTAGCATTGGATTACAGATGGAACTGTCATGGTCTATTTCCTATGTGAATACTGAAGATGCAACATAGTTCCTCAAACTCACACATGTAACCCATCTTCCCAGGTCCTGCTTTAACACGTCTCCATCATCATCCTTGTTATGGCATTCTCAAACATTTCAGAATATCCACTTTTTTAAATATAAATTTTTAAAAATGAGAAACAATCTTATTTTACATATCAATCCCAGTTCTCTCTCCCTCCCATCCTCCCATGCTCCGCACTGGTTCCCCATCCTTTCCCTCAGTGAGAATGAGGTCAACCATGAGGGATCATCAAAGTCTGTCAAGTCATTTGGGGCAGGGCCTAGGTCCACTTTTATACCCATCACAATTATATTTTTCCTTTGTAAGGTCTATGTCTCTCATTTATTATATATTTCCTTTCCCGATGCATTATATAACAATATGTCAAGTTCCATAAAAGCTTATAGTGCCTTAAAAAACAGAACTCATATCTTGCTTTTGTGGGTTGTTTTTATCTTGTCAAAGTCAAATACACTTCTTTTTAGGATTAGTTTAAATTTTAGCTGAGTATATAGTGTCCTTTAGGGAATGGTGATTACTGGGGAAGAGTAAAAATATAAAAATATTTCTTTTATTTTTGAACTCAAGTGCTCAGGGAACTTCCTGTGAAATGAGGAAAGAAGTATGTCCTGGAAATATGATCATGTTTTTAATTAGTAAGATTTGGAGATACGATACAAGTATTTTGGTTTTTTCATTTTCTTTTTCTTTTTCTTTTTTTTTTTTTTTTACCTTGAAATATCTTTCTGAGGGGATATTGGGAATGCCCCTGTTTTCGCATGTGACTCACCTTTGGTTTTTATGTTCACAATAAAAATTGGTTTGTGTAAGGACAAATGTGGACAGGAAAAGGCTTGCATATTTTTGAGAAAGTATTTGTCTCCTAGAATGAGGAAAGGCATCTTGTGGAACAAAGCAGGGTCCACTGAGATTAGCTCACAGAGTCAGGAACAGCCACTGCAATGTATGCATTGATTCATAACTGTGTCTCTCAATTGTCCCGGGTCAGTTTCTGATTGGCAACAGAAGAAAAAAATTGCAGAGGCTATTGTGCAGGGGATGAGGGTTGCGTGAGAAGGCAGGAAGTGAGAGGCACAATCTTTGTTTCAGAATGAGCACCTAGCATCTTGCCCAGAGTATCTTTTCTGTGTGGCCACCCACAGTCTCAGGAGCTCCTGCGGGTTGCATGCATCATTCATTATATTGCAGGTCTATGTGTCCTTATGTCTAAGGAATGAGGAAGGGAGAACCTTCAAAGAAGTCAGATGAAGGTTACACTGTGCAGATAGTAGCCTTTCTTTGGCTTGAAAAGAACCCCTTTGCTTTGTGTACTGTGATCTCAAGGTGAAGATTCATGAATTATGCAAGCTGGACTTGCCCTGCATTATTGCATTCTCTATTGTTGTGGCAACACTGGAGTCCTTTCTATATAGCTCTGACTTTAAAGGTAACTTTGAGTACTTTCTCAATCCATTTTGCTACTTACTCTTGTTTTCTATTTCAGAAAAGACTCAAAAAGGTTCAGAGAACCATCTAATTAGTAAGTATCAAACCAATCAAAATTAGCAAGTTTGTTTGATGTTCTGATAAATAATAGGAATAAGGTCTTCTTAACCGAGTGTGTTTGAATTAGATTATCTATTGTTTGTCATCAAACTGCCTTTTCCCAGACAGCTGTGTCTGCTTCTAGGCTGCTTGCCCGACTTAAATAGCAGGTGCAGTACATCTGCCACCATTCTGTATCATTAAACTGTGTGCCCACTGTCTGTCCCCTTCAATTGCTCCTAATTGTTTTTACACTCAAAGAAAGAATCTGGGGTGGGAGGGTCACACATATAATGCAATCCTTCACCTCACTGCTTTTGATATGTATTAACAGTAACCCCAAAGAAACAGTGCACCTTACGTCATAACCCAGATTATGCACACGTAAAAAGCAAGTCCATAAAACCCATAGAAAGTGGCATCATTTGATTTCTGTGCTCTGGGAATGGGGGAGTGCCATGTGCAATGCAGGGAGTTTATCAAGCCCTTGACTTCTCCTTCTTAGATGCAGATCCTCTCCTACCTTGTGATACCAGAAGTATCTCTCAAAACTACCACCTGTTTCTGGGGGATGAGACATTTTTCTGGTTGAGAGCCACTATAATAGCATGTATTATGAATTCATATATTTTCTAGTTTGTTTAGAAAATACTATTTTTGATCCACTGAGCTGGGTCACACCTTATTTATAAGTTGCAACCAACCTCGATCAAACAGGGACCTGGTGAATGCTAACACTAATAATGAGCACTAGCTAGATGCTAAGCAAAGCACATCTGGTAAAGGCAAAAGTATTTTATGTTTGGAGATAATGGTAACTCATAAGAGAGAGCCAAGCATACCATCAGAAACCTGCTGGTGTGAGTCTCAACTGCCATTCATGAGTTTTCTGCCTTTGGGAAATTTTTGGAGCAGTAACATTCCTCTCAAGTTCTAAAACTATGTAAAGGAAATGACTTCCTGAGCACCGAACTAAATTTATAAATGGAAGGGCCTGGTGAAGTGGTTTGTTGGAATTATCATAGAGATCTTTCTACAGATGAGTTTTCCAAACAGAATGTGAGATGCTCACAAAAGTTAAAGAGAATGGATTGATGGTACTGGGACCACCAATGGAGAAATAGAGGGCATAGCCTGCAAGTTCCTCTATTTAAATTATGACAATGCAAAGGGGCATTGCCAACTCTAATGCGTCTAGGACTTCTTAACCATTTTCAACAGTGTCTGATATTCCAGATGCCACCAGTGCTTCAGGACCATCCACCATGGAAGAGAGGGTGGACAGGACCTGGCTGCTTTACAGTTTGCTTCCTTTGGTGGCAATCCCTTTGTTGCTTATCTGTTTCTGCTTGGTCTGTTTCCTGAAAAGGCACCAAGGTGGGTTGCAATTCCCTCTGCCCTTATATGCCACACATTTGGGGTTTATTTTCTATGGGTGATAGATTATTTTTATCTGGCTAGTGTTTTCTGTTTTGGATGATTCCTGGAGAACTACTAGATTCCACTAGAAAACTGAGTGCATTAATTTAGGCTCCCTCCAGGCATGGTAAGGCATACTTACTACATCATTATGCTAGTCTAGGGTTATGGCTAAGAGAACTAATTTCTTGAACTTTTTCATACTATATACATCAATCTTAGCTGTGTACAAGAAAACATTCACCCAAACTTTAGTCACGTTGAAACAATCTCTTGAATGAACATGTTTGATTTTAGTTTTTTTCTTCCAAGCCCTTTCCACAACTCTACCACATAATTCTAACAATACACACCATTATCTAAATAAGGAATCATGGTCCACAGAATGGTTTTATACTTTCTATTGGTGTCATAAACACGTGCTTGAATCAGGCTTTTACTCAATAGCATTGCATTTGAAAATGTGGACTTGCCTATAGTGAGAGAGTTGTTAAATTTTGAAAGTAGTTGCTTTTCCCTTTTGAAATCATGTAGTCCTTGTCACCACTCAACAGTAAAACTCAGCAGGAAAGGCATGCTGATCTGGTCCATCTATATTCTCTATTCCCTTGTTCTTCTCTGTGTCTTCCCCTACCCTTTTCTACAACATGAGCCACAGTGTGGCTGTAGAAACTCAGTGGGACAAAGCATCCCTTGTTTGGCTGCCACAAGAGAAACCTTTGTCTGGGCGGAAGTGCTTCTGGTGTTTTGAAGTAAGTGGTTTTGGATCCCAGAGCCTTTTTACAGTTATGAGGAACCCCCTATAAACCCACCTCTGCCTCTGTAACTACACAACACAAGAAACTAGAATAAGCTTTATTAGTCATCATATCCAAAGGGAGCTGGGAGCATAGATGTAACAAAAACATTTGTTACGTTTTTCTATTTTTGTTTGTTGAGAATTTCATACAATGTGTTTTGATCATTGTCACCTGCTTTTTTTCTTTAACCCCTCTGAGATCCCTTTATATCCTTCTCCAAATTATACGCGCGCACGCGCACACACACACACACACACACACACACACACACATTCACACACTTACTTCTTAGTTAGGGTTTTTTGTTTGTTTTGTGAAGAGAATCATGACCAATTGGAGTGGCTTGCTTACAGTTTCAGAGGTTCAGTCCATTATCGTCACAGTGGTGAGCATGGCAGCATGCAGGCAAATGTGATGCCAGAGTAGTAGTCCTATATCTTCCAGTAAACAGGAAGTCAACTGACTGGAGCATAGGAAACCTCAAAGCCGGCCCCCACCGTGACACACTTCCTCTAAAGAGGCCATAGACATTCCATCAAAGCCACACCTTCTAATAGTACCACTCCCTATGAGATTATGGGGGGCCAAGTACATTCAAACTACCACAATATATATACCATTGGGTCAATTAGTGTTGCTCTTGTCCATATAACTGTGGAGATTCACTGGGGCATGGTAACCTACGGGAGACTACACACATAAAAGAATAGACTCTTCCTCTCCCAGAAGCCATCATCTGTCATTAGCTAACGGTTCCAGGGCTCCTGTACTGGGTGGGATGCTGGCTGGCTTAATCTTGCACAGATCTGTGCAAGAAATCACAGGTGTTGTGAGTTACTTGATATAATGGCATAGTCATGTTCACGAACCTCTGGCTCTTACAATATTCCTTCCTGTTAGCTGAGCCTTAGGGAAGAAGTATGATGAAGATGCCCCATATATATCAGAGCTGGCAGAATGCATTCAGCATTGAGTAGGCAGTGACTCCCAACATTCGAAACTGTTCTTTACTATTCCTTCCTTGTGGATGTGAAGACTGTTGGGTGATGTAAGAAGTGAACACAGGGGAGTGGGCATGTCCATTCTTACAGGCTCAGGTGTGTGTGGTACATGGTAGCCAAGACAGAACTAACAATATGACTGCTGGCATGCAGGGAGGTGGGTATAGTAGGAAGATAATTGACCTTGCTTTCTTTAACATCTTTCGATTACCCCTTTTCCTTTCTTCCTTCCTTCCTTCCTTCCTTCCTTCCTTTCTTTCTTTCTTTCTTTCTTTCTTTCTTTCTTTCTTTTTCTTAATCCTTCAGGTCAAGAAAAGAAGTCTTCTGGCTTAGCAGGAACGGAAATGAACCTGGTATGTTTAAAATATCTCTTAAGACAAACACATTATATTACCATATGTAATTTTCAGTAGGTTTATATGACATTAACACACACACACACACACACACACACGATTTTTCACATCAGCTATGATTGTCTTACTTGTATAAGATGGGATGGGGAGGAACCCACACAGTAGTCAATAACTGATGGGGGGTGAGAGCCATTTTTTAGTGTTAGTCACTATAAATAAACCCTCACTTACATTATTGTTAGCCACCAAAATGAAATTCATCATGAGAGAACCATCAAGATAGAAAGAGAATAAGTTGGAGAAAGGAACGAGGTTGGAAGACTGGGAAGGGGATAATAGGGAACAATGGAGGATGAAAATGAACAATCTATTGCATACATGTATGTCATAGTAAAACATTATTATGTATAGTTACTAATAGAAAGTAAACAAACCATAACAGCAAAGTCCAGAGTTCTGATTTTATTTCAGAATGGGCCTTCTAAGGCAGTGGTTCTCAACCTTCCTAATACTACTAGATACAGTTCCTCATGTTGTGGTGACCTGCAAGCAGAAGATTATTTCCATTGCTACTTCATAACTGTAATTTTCTTACTGTTATGAGTTGTAATGTCAATATTTTGGGAGATACAGGTTTGCCAAAGAGCTTGTGACCCACCGGTTGAGAACCACTGTTCTAAGGGACTAAAAATGGTTGTATAGGAACTCCACTCAGTCATAATACACTTTTAAAAGGGTAAGGCTTTTGGGAAGTTAATTAGAAGTCAACACATTTATTTTTAAAGGAGCCTTACAACTGTAATAGTCATGCCAGTCATGCCAGGTGAGACAGCACGCCTCTGTCTTGCATCCTTTATCATCTCTGGCTACCGCATCATAGTGTACTTGCCTTGTGGCACCATTGCTTTTATAGAGTGTCACAGGAGAACTTCAGGTACAAAGAACCATGTTTGTGCTAACAGAGTTTTTACGTGAGATAAGCCATTCGGATGAAGGGAGTCAACTTAATTGACAGACTGGAAAGTATATCAGGGACCTCAATTCATTTGACAGTGCCCCACATGCAGGCTCATTTTGTGTGGGGACACTTTCCATCTTAGCCAGTCTACCCTTGGTTCCTTCAGACATCCAACCTTAAGTGTTATTTCTAGGTGCTCGCCTCATAGGCAAATTGCAGCATATCGGCAGGTATTGCCTCATTTCTCAAGTTAGGACTAAGCATGTTTTTAGGACAGAGCTTTCCTCGGTAGACATAAAAGAAATCCCTTTGTAAATGTCACAGTGAGACTTACCGAGGACCACAGGAGTATGAATAGTCAAAGATGAAGAACTGGTAACTTTTAGGAAAAATACAACTTGGCTGGCAAAGTGTAGATTCATAAAATGTCAAAATAGAGCCCTGGGTGAATGGATCAGTGGGTAAAGTACTCTGTGCAAGCTTGAGGACTGGGTTTGGATCCTTAGCACTTATGTCAAATCTGGGTGTGGTTGCATACATTTTAAAACCCAGAGGTGGGGGAGGAAGTGAAAAGTGGTTAAACCAGGGGCTCATTGGCCATCCAGCCTAGTTGAAAGCCTAGTGAAGTACCAGCTTCAGTAAGAACACCTTTCTCAACAAATAAGGTAGAGAGGGATAGAGAAATAAACCTGACATTGACCTCTGACCTCAACATGCACACACATGGGTGAATGCACCTTACTCACACACATACAGATTCACCCCCACCCTCCCATGTATAAAAGTTAAAACCCTTTACATTAATACAACATCATAATTTTTTACCATCTGCACTTTTTATATAGCCAGGAGAAGCTAACAAATAACTGAAAGGAGGGAGAAAATATCAGGATTCACTTTAGTTTCCAAAAATTCCCCTCTGTCTCACACTATTTAGGTCTCTAGCACTATGTGAAAGTATGATGATTTTCTTGTGATAGAAATAAGAACTAGAATAATAGTTTAGAACTTAATCCAATCCTTGTTCTTTCAATATTGGCTTCCATTTTCTAGTTTAGCTCTCCAATTACAATGGGTCTTGAACAACCTGTGATGCTTCCCATTCCTGCTCTCCTGAGGGGGTCTCAGATCTTTTTGCTTTTGTCTTGATCTTTTGGTATTCTATGCCCCATATGCCAATGTGTTATACACCGTTTAAAGTTTTGGTGGCTTTATTTTTCTTTTCCTATGAACTGGACTGTAGTTTTTCCATTGAAAGAGCATTATTTATGTTCTGTGACCTCAAATGACCCCCAATATAGTACAAAACAACTGTTTGGGAAGAGCATAGTGGACTTCAACTGTTGGCCTTTGGGGCTCAGTGGTCAAGTACCTGCCTAGTACTCATGAGGACTTGAACATAACATAAGAAAACAGAACAAAACAAAAATCTAAAACAAACAAGCAAAAACCAAACAATGAACCAACACTTTCATCCTTTGATAATACAAAGCTTACTATAAATGCAGATATTAGGTAACTTATATGAGGAACAATAGATGGTCTATCTTGATGTGCATGACACCAGGTAGTCTTTCAGTCAGAGTCTAATAATGAATACATTTCATCATGTCCTTACATGGTATATCTCTTTTCTCTTGTAGGTTGATATTCCAGTGAGTCCAAGGACAAATTCCCGAACACTGCCATCAGAAACTGGCATTTATGATAATGATCCCTGGTCAAGTGTCCAGGAAAGGTCTGAATCCACAACTGACTCACAATTGGAGGGAAACAAACAGGGCATTGTTTATGCTTCTCTGAACCATTCTGTTATTGTAAAGAACCCAAGACAGGCAAGCAGCATCCAAGAGGCACCCACAGAATACGCATCCATTTGTAAGAGAAGTTAAACCTGGCACTGATGCACACAGGCTGTGAGCATTGCATGATGGACTTGTTAATACCATCTTCTGGACCTCCAGGGTCAAATAACAACCTGGGAATTTTCACATTAAGATAGTTTGTGTCTTAAAGGTCCATGGAAACTTTGGAGGCATTTTACACAAGAGCTTTTTTCTGGGAAGACTCATAGCACAAATAGCAGAATAATAGAATGTTTAAATTTGACCATGTCTTACCCAGTGTGTGAATTTAATATTTCCTTTGGAAATATCAGAGAGACTACCAGGGAAGAAAGAAGTGTGTTGTTTGGATTAGCTCACTACACATTCTAGAAAAAGAATGGCCCAATTTGACTATCTAATCATAAATACATCAATGATCATATGTTCCCGTCAATTTTCTATGATAAGACAATTTCCCATGTCAATCTATAGCTAGTGTTTTATTTTTTCTAATGTAAAGGAAAATTATCTTGGACTCAATTCAGAAAACATTAGAAAGGGTAATTGGTGCAGCACAGATACAGAATATTCCAAATAGATATGGGGCCAAAGTGCATTATCTGCCAATGAGATGCATATTTTCACCCTGTTAAATTGAGAAAGTCAGGTAGTAAAGGATTTATAAATGCATAGTGAGTGTATCTGTAATCAAAGTGGTAGTATTTGGACCAAGTAATGTACATGAATGTGATGCCATGCTGCTGAACTAATATACACATTTGAGTTTATGAACAAGAGTCAATGGGAATAGATATTATAAGGCAAATCTACAGTGAACTTTTAAACCACCCTATGCTTTACGTGAGAGCAAACTCAAGTGACAGTTCATAGAAAGAAAGAGTCTGGAATATTTAGTTGATCAGTAGGGGTTGACATAGCCTCATTGATGTCTATTTCTTGCTTCTTATAAAAAGAATCAGGAGAGATCATAAAGTATGACATATGGAGATAATTCAGGTTTAAATTCAAACATTGTAGCTGCTTGAGAGGATAGTTAATTTTCGGGTGTTCTGAATTTCCAGATTACTTGAGTCTAATTATTTAAAACATAGCTCATAATTTTATTCATCAGCTTGAGGCTTGAGTTCTGACTTCTGAAACTGAATGGCACCATCTTTTAGTATACAGTGGATGGCAAGAGCTAGAAGCCACTAGAACAAACACATGAGTTGCTAGATGAGTGAATGTGGTCTACATAATTTCAAGTATTGTGTGTGTGTGTGTGTGTGTGTGTGTGTGTGTGTGTGTGTGTGTGTGTGTGTGTGGGCAAATGCAAGACGTGACTTACAGATACAAGACAAGGAAAAACAGTCAGATTGCTACCCTATTTTTAGTTTGCTTAGCGGGTACAAAAGGACTAGAAGAAATTAGTCACTAAAGAAAATAAGGTCAGAAACGGTGAGAATAGGGATGCGAGTAGAGAATGTATTAATAAACAGACAACAAAGAAGCCTTTCTGAAAAATTTTCTCACCCATGGCTCATATCAGGTTTCAGTTGTCTGGATTTGAAAGAGCAGATACTGTTTTCAGATACTGTTGCAACCAACCCCAGGTAAGCTCCTTCAGCCAGGTGTATGTGCAGGCATGTATGAAAAAAAAAAAAGCCTTAGAATAGCTACTTTAACTGCTCTTCTTCAAAATAGAAACAGGAAGTATGGGGGATGAGGGATGAGCACAGTGCCTTGTTCCCCTTACCAGATCAACATGTGAGTTGAGCAATTCTATCAGGATTGTCTCCAATTTTAAAAACTAATTTTTTATATTTTATATAAAACATTCTTTTAAAAACCTTGTGTGTGTATGTATACATGTGTATTTGTGTGTGTGTGTGTGTGTGTGTGTGTGTGTGTGTGTGTGTGTGTGTACTCTTTGTGTATGCAGGAGCCGAAGAGGACATCAGGTGTCCTTTTCTATTGGTTACCACTTAATTCTGTTAAGGAAAGGTCTCTCTCATTGAACCTGGAAGCAGGCAGGAAGTGAGATAATGGATCCTTCTGTCTCTGTCCCCCATTGCTAGGGCTACAGTTGCTCATGCCCACACTTTTACGTGGGTGTGGGAAATCCAAAGTCAAGTCCTCATGTTTGCACAGCAAACACTCTTACTTGCTGTGCCATCTCTTAGGCCCCCAATGCTCTTAGTGAGGCAATGGTGGCACACACCTTTAATCCCAGCACTTGGGTGGCAGAGGCAGGCAGTTAGAAGCCATCCTGGTCTACAAAGCAAGTTCTAGGGTAGCCAGGACTGTGACACAGAGAAACCCTGTCTTGAAAACCAAAACAAACAAACAAACAAACAAAGAATGTTCTTATATTTTACAATGGAAGACACTGCTAGAGATTTCACTTCTATGAATGGTAGATTATGTTTATGTTTTTACCTTGCTTGTCAAAAATCACATATTATTTGTGCTCTTATTTTTACTTAATGTATGTATGTATATTATATATATATATATATATATATATATTCTCAAAGTAATTTGTTCTAGGATTATTTTTGTGTTTATTGAAGTTACAGTTGGTAGATAATTTAATGATTTTCATGAACTTTAAGATTGTTGATTGTTCCCAGTAAGACAGAAAAATTATTAAAATTTACCTGAAATTGAAGAAATGGCAACTCTCCAGTGGTAAAATGCTGAAGACCCCTCCCTCCTCTCACCTGTCAATCAACTGCCAATAGTTCAGCTGGTAGGAGCAGCCATCATAAGTCCCTTTTCCATCCATGAGGGACATTGATGGCACTCGTCTTGTGCAGGTCTTGCACAAGCAACCTCAGCTGTTTGAGTTCGTGGCTGTTAGTATTCAGGCATCTTTACTGGCCTGTCCTTGGGGATCTGACAGGATTCACCCTCAGCTGCAGCCACTAAGAACACCAGCTGTGCATAGTCACTACGTTCCCTTTTAAAATGGCCCTGCCTACCTCCCATCCTTTTTTCTGTCCCTCTCTTTGCTCTGCTCTCTCTCCCCTCTATTCTCTCTCTCCTCTCTCCTTCTGTTCCTGTCTCTGGAGGTCGGTCTCCCCCTCCTTTTTCCCCTTTTTATGATCCCTTTCCCTAACAACCTCTCTGATTGAACCCTGTCTCATGGCATCTTTCTCTTGAGTGCTGCTTTTCTTAAATTACAACAATGGGTAAAACACATGTCATATCCAGAGGCCAGCATTTTACAACACTCCTTCTTGTGTCCCTCCCGCTTCCTTCACCTTTCTTGACCAATGGAAAGGGTGCTATAGCTGTCACATTTATAGGTGAGCACTATACAGTCAGTTATTCTTGACCCCTTGGCCAGCTGTCAATCTCTGCATTGACCACACCCACCACATTAAGAAGCTTCTCTCAACAGGCATGAGAAAGGTCCAGATCTATGGACATGAAACATGCTTAACCAGCTGATGATTTATCGGGCATTTTTTATTTTTCTTGTGTTGAAGATTACTTTTCCCCCACACCTTATATTCTGATTGCAGTTTCCCCTTCCCCAATGTCTCCAAGACCTGCCCCATGTCCCCTCCCATCCAGGTGTACACTCTTTCTGTCTCTGCTTAGAAAATAAACAAGCATCTTAATAATAATACTAAAATAACATAAAAACAAATCCAAGTATGACAAAACAAACAGAAGAAAAAGCACAAGAAACAATAGATGCAATGAGAAACATGTAGTAATCCCATTAAAATGCAGAATGAGAAGCCATGATATAAACACAAAGGACCTGTAAGATTAAATATATATATATATATATATATATATATATATATATATATATATATACACCCTGACAAAACATTATGAGACACAGGGCCGCCAAAGATTCCATTGAGTTTGTTTTATGTTGTCCCTCTACTGCTGGCCACAGTGCTTGCCCTTAAGAGTCGTTTGTATATCTAGTAAGATGCCATTGGAGAAAATTAATTGGAGATAGCTTCTGGGTTAGGGATGCGGGCTTACATCTACATCTTTCAGCTCAAGAATCTCATCTGGTACAGATCTGTGCAGGCCCTGTTCATGCTACCTCAGTCTCTATGAGTTCATATGTGTGTTTGTCCTACTGTGTTTAAAAGGCCTTGTTTTTTGTTTTTTGTTTTTTGTTTTTTTGTTTTTTTTTTTCTTTTGATGTCCTTTTCCCAGTCTGGCCCTTACATTCTTTCTGCATCCTCTTTTGCCAGGCTCCCTGGAGGGAAGGTTTTATGGAGACATCCTGTTTAGGACTGAATGTTTCAAGATCTCTCACTCTGTACATATGTCAGGCTATGGGTCTCTCTGTATTTTTTCCCATGGCCAACAGAAAATGAACTCAATGTTATATTTTGTAGACTTTTGTCTCATATTGCTTTGCTTGGATTTTTTTTCCTTACAGGTATTTTGCTTGTATATTATAGTTTATGGTTTTGTTCTTTTATGGGTTTTGTTTGTGTTTATGCATGTGTGTATTTCTTGTACTTTTTCTTTTAAAAAATTTTACTCTGATTTGTCTTTTAAAGAGATAATAGGTGTGGAGTTGAGTACATGGGGAAGATCTGGGAGGATCTGGGGGATGGAAAATCATATCAGAATGTATCTTATGAAAACATATTTTCAATAAAACTATATAAAGAATTCAAATAATTAAAATTAAGATTTTTCATCAGAACAAATATTAGGAAGAAAGCACAGAAGTTTCACATGTGTCATTTTCTGCAATGTGCACAGCTGGCCCCCATCTGCATCCTTCAGGATCAGAGACTACTAGTTAAATGAGAACCAATGCTAAGATGTCAGTATCAACCAAAGTTTCTAGTGTGCCTTAGGATTGAATCTTGGTACTCTTGTTTCTACAGAGTTTAGCCTTGTAGAATGACCTGTACCCATCATTATGGTGACATGAAGAGTAACTTTATAAATATTTACCCTCCCACACACTGTGTTCCACATATCCAACTCTTCTGTCCTCCCAACTCCTGGAAACTGTATAATCTATGCATTTCATCTGTAGCTTTCCCTTTTTTTCCAGAACAGTTGGAGTTACATCCTATGTGTTCTTTCATACTGGCTTCTTAGATGCAGTAACATGTATTAGCTCCTTCATTTTTTCCATAGCGTAATAGTTTATTTCTTCTCAGTGCTGAATGAGATTTCATTGCTTGGATAACTTATAGTTTATTCAAGCTCTTTCTGAAGGAAGTCTTGTTTGCTTCCAAGATTTTGGTAATTTTGACATGCTATAAACATCCGTAAAGAAGTCTTTGAGTAGGAATAAATTCTTATTTTATTTGGACAAAAGCCAAGGAAGATAATGATTGGCTTGAGGTTGTGTTTACTTTTCTAATAACTGCTATAGTGGCCATTTTATACTCCCACCAACTTCCAAGCCAACATTCTAATGTTTAGTGATAATATCCTATGACTATTTAAGTTTTAAACTCCATAATGGCATGTGGTCCTCATCATATTTTATAGGCTTATTTGCCTTCTTTGTTTCTTTGGTGAAGTATGTGTTCAAATGTCTTATCCCAAACTGTAGTTCATCTTCTTATGTTTGTGCTAATCATGGAACTTACTTGGTATGATGGCTGCCATATTAGACTGCAGACTTAAAAAATATTTCATGAGTATGGGTGTTTTGCCTGCATGTATGTATGTGCATGCAAGCTGTCTAGTGCTCATGAAATCTAGAAGAGGGCATCAGATCTTCTGGAACTGGAAATACAGACAGTTGTGTCTTTTGGGTGCTAGAAATTGAACCCGTATCATCTGGAAGAGAAGCCAGTGCTCTTAACATCTGACCCCTCTCTCCATCCCTATCTGTGGACTTCTTTTTAAAAAATTTAAAAATTTATTTATTTATTTTACATTCCCTCATTCCTTTCAGTCCCTCCCCCATCTGCCCCCTCTCTTCCTCTATTCCCAAAAGGGCAGGCCTCCTCTGGATATCAACAAAGCATGGCCTATCCAGTTGCAGTAAGATTAAGCACCTAGCCTTGTATTAAGGCTTCAAGGAGACCCAGTATGAGAAATTTCTCATATTGGATGAGTCATCTCTCCATCCCTGTCTGTGGGCTTTTTAGTGGTAAATATTGTCACATTTCCATTTAGTTGCACAACCCAGTGCTTGGCATGTATCATAATTAAATACTGTTGAATGTTTGTAAAGCAAACCATCCACTTCCTCCACAGGCAAAGGATGATCTTTATTGCCAGATGCATGGGATCTTTGGGGAGCCTGTTAGTAATGTGAAATCACACTCTTCACACCCTAAGCAGGAATCTACATCTGAAC